ATAACCGTCGTTGAACAGACCACTTAAGTTTGGGTTTACGACTACTAATGTTCAACTCCGTAGCCTTATAATTTCGAACTCAATCCAGAAGACTAGGGAACTCTTGGATCAAGAATTGGGAGAAATTTTGCCTTCGTGGAGGACTTCTTGATGGAACTAACTCGCATTTGCGTTACATGGAGAGGAAAATCGCTATAGCCTCTCATGGTTAGCCTGACTGCAAGGGGACTCTAACCCATGATCCGTCTACCACGGAGGATATTTTACGCGAGCACTGTCATCGATGCGAGCCGGGGGCAGAATCGACCAGCCGGTTCACCTCATTAGATGGTAAATTCTCTATCCCCTGAGCCCTTTATAAATTTTATATTTTTTATAATTAATAACTGTACCAAATGTTTGTTTAATGGTAGTAAAAATTTTATCCTTAATCAGAGTCTGCCCGAGCTCCAAACCTTTTTTCAGTAAAAGATCTCGATCCCGTCAAATTTTTACTATACTTGCGGAATTTTGAGGGTTCTGTTGTAATTGAAATGTATTACCACCATCTGTGGAATTTTTTGTGGTAACCGAAGTTGCGCCCTACGTTTTTCGCTTTAGATTTAACAAATATAAGTTTTCTGCTTTCGTTGTTGTTGTTGATTTACGTCGCACTAGAGCTGCACAATGGGCTATTGGCGACGGTCTGGGAAACATCCCTGAGGATGATTCGAAGACATGCCATCACAATTTTGATCCTCTGCAGAGGAGATGGCACCCCCGCTTCGGTAGCCCAACGACCTGCACGCGAAGTCGAGCACTTTACGGTAGCACAGTTTAACGAGGACCAATACCGCACACCCTCGGTCCCTACGCAGACTGATCCAAGTGGGTCATCCACCGCACACTGACCGCAGCCAGTGATGCTTGATGAGAACCGGGTCTTAACGATCAGAACTTCTAATTTTGGGACTGTACTTGGGACTGCACTGCGGGACTTCTAATTTTGAATTCCAAAAATAAAACATAGTTTTTTAAATTACTAATTATTTTTTAATCCAATGTTCTGATTTGACTCGATTTATTCCAGACATTTATTTGACGGTGTCTTCCCTGACGGATGGTGGAGACAGGCGGTTGGAACTTAACTGGAAGGGCAGCGATCCAGAAGCACTTGTCGCCCTTTACAATGCTCCCCCCGCAACAGACAGACCCCCACTAGTAACCATTAAAGGGAATTCTGGAGGATACTTCAGGTAACACTTTATCAACCTTTATTATCAATATTTATTTCAACGTATTTTTGTCTGCGATCTAAACAAGTGACACTTTTTGTATTCTATGTATTGTTTTTACGCTGAATCAGGGCTCGACAAACTGCCCGTCCGCCCGTCCTCGGCGGTCAAAAATTCCCGCGGACAGCGAATTTCTCGAATCTGACGTCCGCGCGGACGGCCATTTTCCCGTTAATGTTTGTGATACATTTTCAATTTTTGTTATCTTACAAGAGTCTAGCGCCTCATTTCTAAAATGACCCTCTAATCCAGAAATGCAGCAACATACTGCGCATGATGGAATTGATGTTTTCTCTGTCTGGGAGTATTGCAGCGGTTGAAAAGGGCTTTTCAGCAATGAACTTACAAAAAAACACATTACTTACTGGTCTTAAACAAGAAGCGTTAAACGCAATTATGAACATCANAAATCATTTTGTGAAGGGTTCGTTTTTAAGTTAAAATATTTTGTGAAGGGTCCGTTTTTATGAAAAGATATTTTGTGAAGGGTCCGTTAACGGACCCAAATTTCTTCTAAACAGACCCCTGATTGGTCTCATTCAATTCAACGTAGCAGATTAAATCGGAAAATATGTTTTACACGTTACATATGTCCCTAGGTAGCAATGTCAAGTGTACACATATGTACGTGTCAAAAAATAGTTTTTATTGATAAAAACTTTTGTACATTTTAACTATTGACTTGTGTATAGTTTCATTCGATTCAGCATTAAAAAAATCGCATGAAACTATGCCTTTTTTGATTAGATAGCAAGATCAGATGCGTGAATAGATAGCACAAATTTGTACTATTTGTGCATTAAACCCTTATAATTTTGTAAGATCGTCTCGTGATTGGTTTCAATTCAGGGTGAAAAAATACTTGAAAAATAATTGCCTCTCTTGCCTGTCTAGAAAAAATTCAATAATCACCCCTCAAATCAGCTCCATAGGACTCAAAAAAAGGGGGAGCTTATATAGGAGAGTAATGAAGTTTTCAAGTACCATTTATATCAACATAACCAATCCAGAAGACAAGGAAACTCTTGGATCAGTACCCCCAGAGGTATGATTTGTTATGGGAACATGGAAGACTTTGTGACTCGACAGATTTAACGTGTATCAGTCACCATTTTACTACACGAGGAGTCTTCGGTCAGCAGGGATCAAACCAACGACCTCTTGGGCGTGGGCCCAGTGCCCTACCAACCAGACTATCCCGGCTTTCTGGACTACTAGTAGTTTTTAACTCGTTATAAACATAAAATTTTTATAACGTTTTTTATTTAGATATTGATGCTGACTTGAAAATTTTTCATAATATGCCATATTCTTTATAACGAGCTTTTGCGTATTTCAATCTCGTATTTTTTAGAATTTTGATTCGATGCGTAAATCCCAAGGCATTTTAACGTTTTTTTACTTTCAAACATTCTTCGTAAATTGTTCAAATAAGGAATAAATGTCAAAAGCTGTTTTTTTTTAAATCCTAAATAAACGAATTTTGATTTTTAAAAAAAATTATTCTTACTTCGATCACCATGACTTTAAAAATAAGAAAATATATTCCTAATTTGAAGCGATGTATTAAGATAGGTAAATCAGTCTCACTGATATTCAATAAAATTATAATTTAAAATTTTATTGTTGACATTAAAATATTGATTATTCACATTAAAATAGTGATTTGCTGATGGTTTTTAAAGTTTGGTTTAAAATGACACTATATTTTGTTTCATGCATGTGAAATGTGTTACTCCCTTGCATTGCGTTTTATATACCACGCAAAATTTTTCTCTTTATTTTTTTTTACACCAATGAAAACCTGCTCTATTTCGGGGTGTAGGGAATAAATTTCAGCCTCTGTCTGTTTTTAACTTTTAGAACTTTTTTGAAACTCAAAAAATTCCACACATTATAATTTATTTAAAATATTATTTAATTTATTTAGATAGTAATGATTAAGTTTCTTCCCCTTTTTACATCCTTCTCAGTAAATCCAAGATAATGGGGTAAATCTCACTTCCTCACCTTACAAGTTTTAAATATCCAATGGGATACCTTCAAGTGACTTAGTGTGGGTATCTCGATCCTGATTGGTTGTTGAAACGTTGCATTTGTTTACGTTAGCAACTGCTTTTTTTTATTCTATTTCGCTTAAGATAAGCTCGCCAAGTATCGATTCTCATAAGTGACACATTCTATATTCTTTCAAAAAGATTATTTCTCAAGGATTTCAATAATTTATCTTTCTTAACACAAAGACCGGCATGAAGCCCCGTAGAATATAAACGAACTAATTATGCTTCGAAGTTGCCAGGTACACAAAACAAGTTACAATAAAATACATACACAAATATCAAATCTAAGTTAAGTAAAAGACGTAGATGATAAAGAAATATATTCCAATAAATTTGATGTGCAATACTGCGCTGTATTTAATTAATTTCACGTTAATTAACATTTTAACTTATGTGGAGAAATTTAGCTCAACTTTAACACATCATTTTGCTTATTAGCGATCAGCTGGCGCTAATGTCATAGGTCACATGTGAGTGTATTGTGATCTTCTTCTTGAAGTGCGAGTACCCAATTGGACCTAAACTAAAACAATAAAAAACAGTTTCCAGCTCTTCCTTATCTTTTTCCGTGTAGAGCACTTTTATTGTGCTCTATGTAACCATTGACATAAAATAAATAGCAATCGTTAAAAAAAAATTTTTTTTTAAATCTTATCAGCACATTACAAGATTTTATTTCCCTTTCCTACAACGGATACAGAAAATCCCATTTAAGCCACCCTATCTGTCTATTACCCTAACTGACCAATCAGTTTCCCGTTCTCATTTCCGATTTCGCATAGTCTTAGATAGCAGTGAAAATAAACCTTTGTAATTAGTGACTAAATTCAAGATGGGCCGTAGACACTGAAAATTAAACCGTTTTTACCATTTAACCATCTCTGTAAGTGATTAACATGCATGTTTAACATAATTTAACCTGGCACCTTATTGCAGTAGTTACATAATAACAGTCTAGTAGAGTTCATGCATTTGTGTTAGCTTGCTGAGTATTGTTGTTGTTGTTAATTTGCGTCGCACTAGAGCTGCACAATGGGCTATTGGCGACGGTCTGGGAAACATCCCGGAGGATGATCCGAAGACATGCCATCACAATTTTGATCCTCTGCGGAGGGGGTGGCTCCTCCGCTTCGGTAGCCCGACGACCTGCACGCGAAGTCGAGCACTTTACGGTAGAACAGTTTAACGAGGACCAATACCACACACCCTCGGTCCCTACGCAGACTGATCCAAGTGGTCACCCACCCCCACACTGACCACAGCCAGTGATGCTTGACTTCGGTGATCTGCTGGGAACCTTATCTTAACGATCAGTCCACTGCGGGACACTTGCTGAGTGTAAAACAGATTGCAAGCAGAAAATTTGCAATGTAGGATATTTGAGAGAGACTTTACTAAGTGTGGTAACCCATACCGCTATATTTTACTAACCCATACCGCAGCCTAAATTCGAACAATTTTGAAGCTATTCTCTAAAGTTAGATATAAGAACTTACCGGCCTATTAGTTCGATAACAAATCGAATACAGATATTGCTTAATCTCATTACTGTATACTTTCAATAATATTCTTGAATGTTTTTTCAAAATTTGATTGTAACGAAAGATATAGTTAGTACTATACTAATAAAATAGTCTTCCTAGCTTATTACGAAATGTTCTTTCAGGACACGATTTCGCTTTCCCGAAGTCCCTTTCACCAAACTAAATCTGACCAGCAATTGCTTAGGATTCTGGATAGCAATCCTGAAACAGGAGAGAATATTACAATCGAAATGCATCCAAGGCCATCCCCACTGGATGCACGAATCCAGGAATTACATCGGCAATCTTTCTCTCATCGATCTGATGTTGCCAGGTTCACACAACACCGGGTCCCATTCACGGTACAATCCTGATGAGGACAACGTCTTCAGTCGGTACTTGTACACACAAGAAGAAGACGTCTTCAACCAGTTGGCTTACGGGATCCGGTACTTGGATCTTCGAGTTGCTTACTTCTCCTCACGAAGATCTCCCGAGACCTTGTGGATTACTCACAGCAGTTTTCGCACTAACCTCACCGTTAAAGACGTTATACGTCAGGTAAGATATTGTAACAACCATCATTATTCTCACGATAGCCCGTGGTGAGCCTTGGCCTTCTATATATATGGGTCATTCTCACAAAAACGGTCATATTTATGTCCCCAGTATATTATATGTTTGTTTTACAACTTATGATAAAAAAAAATTCAGGGAAAGTGTCTTTCAGAGTGCAGGCTAACTAAAGAATAAAAGTAAAATTATCAATTTTAATTTTTTATTTATTTTAGGTAATTAAAATAGGCCGATATGTCATTCCCTCACTTGTCCCCACTGTTGATTTAAAAGAAGAAAAAAATTGTTTCTGAAATAAAAAAAATAAATTTACAAATTCGTGTTTTTTATTACAGAATATTGAAATATAGAATTCAGAAAATCAATTTTAAATTTAATTTCTGATGAAAATATTACCACAGCACTATTTTAAACTTTGTCCCTAGCGTCTCGCATCATTCCCTCACAACAATGTTTTTATCGTCTGCAATCTTCTTGGAATAAAAATATTTTAATAAAAACTTTAGCAGTTAACAACTGGCATCATAGAACAAAATTGCAGTATGTTCCCATCTTCAACTTAAAGAAGCTTTGCTGTGGAATAAACTTGAATGAATCAAACCAGGTAAAATTTTTTGCATTTGTCATTCCCTCATGTCGTTTTTTAAAATAAAATAAAATACAATTTAATCGAGAAAGTGGATAATTATATTTTGCTTTTTTGTACGAATATAACTGTATGTGATTGATTTCAGAAATCAATTAGGCCTAACTGTTATTTTTAAATTTTATTAAATTTGTCATTCCCTCACTAATGTATAAAGTGAGGGAATGATTCGAGATGAGTATATTGTTACATTTTTTTTTTGTTTGCTCTTGGTTTTTCTTTTTTTAATAAAAATAGAATTAAAAATTACAGAATACATTGTATTAAGTCTAATTCTAAAGTCTAACCCATTCATAATTTAACTTTATTTAAAATATAATATTACCTGATGAAGTTATCATATTCATAAAAATATTTTTGAATGAAAAAATTAATTAACCTGATTAATTTCGATTTAAATTATATGTTATAGCTTACAATACAATATTACGTACAATACATTATTACTTACAATATTAATTTTATAATTTGATGAATTTTATTTAAGTGCCAAATTTAAATTTATTTCTGAATTCTACACAGTATGAAATAAGACAGCAGTTATAATATAATTATGATCTTGAATTAATTAGTTTAGGCATTTTAATAAATGCAGAATGCCTGTTTTAAGAACAATCTAAGAAATATTAGAATCTATTTTCCAGATAGCTTAACTATGGGAAAGACAAAAGAAGAAGCTCGTTTAAAGAAAAATGAATATGATCGAAAACGAAGAGAACGAGTGAAGTCAAATCCAGATTTCTCTTTAATTTTAAAACAGAAAGAACGAATTAAGTACAATTGCAATTACAGATTGAGAAAACGAGCTCTAACAGAATCCAGTATAAATGTAAATGTGCCATCATTGAATAACAATGTTCCGGGACCTTCCAGTGAATAAAACACATTAAGAATTTCTGAGCATAATAATCTAAGTTTAAGAAAAGTTAGATTTATAAAGTTAAGTGCAAGAAATAGAGCAAATTTGAAAAAACAGATAAATAAACTTGAACATGAAGTATCTGTTCAAAAAACTCGAGCTGAATGTTACAAAAAGCAATTATATAGAATTAAGAATCAAGACCAAAACAGAATGGCACCAAGAAGTCGTGTAAATAAACTTCTGGGCAAGGAAAGAGTATCACCATCAGCTTGCAAGCAGTTGGTTTTTTGTGAAGCACTATGTTTGCAAGTATGAACTAATTTTAAAACTTTAGCAAAGACTCACAGAGAAAAAAAGTTATTTCATAAACTTTTAAGTGGAGAAATTCTGAAAAAGTACAGAGCATTGTGCTTTTCAAAGCGATTTCTGAAATATAGAAAACATAAAAAATCGGTAAAATCAAAATTTAATAAAAATAACATATCTTATGAAACTTCAGAAAACTTTGTTGCTTTTTTTAATCTGACGATGTGTCCAGATTGTGCTCAGGTAAAAAGGAATGCATCACAAGAAAAAGAAGCAAAAGAGAGTGCTTCTTGATACACTAAGAAATCTACATAAAAAATATTTAAGTGAAAACCCAAATCGTCGAATCAGTTATCCTACTTTTTGTCGAAGGCGTCCATTTTGGGTAAAACAACCAACAAATAACGATAGAGATACGTGTAAATGTATAGTACTTGCTAATATGGAAATGATTATCTCAAAACTTTATGAGATTAATATTACTGAATATAAATCATCAGCATGTTTAATAAAAGCAATAACTTGTGATTCCAGCTGTGAAAATTGTTTGTTCAGAAAATGTCTTAATCGTAAAGATAAAATGCCAATTTATAAAGAGTTTAATGATAAGGTAGTAATCAAGTACAAAGAGTGGGTATTAGAAAAAATAGATATATTGCTAAAAATCAAGAAAAGATTTCTAATAAACCAATTAAGATTGAATATAAAGTTAGTACATCCAATTTAATTAAAGAGCTAGAGGGCAACTTACCAAAATATATGGTCCATATTGAAAATATAGTTCATAAGTATAAAACTATGAATGAACTGGAAAAAAAATTATTAACAGATTCAATACTAACAGTACACATTGATTTTAGCGAAAATTATAGTTGCAAATATAGTGAAGAGATTCAGTCAGTGCATTTTGGAGGTGGTAGGCAACAGGTAACTATACATACAGAAGTTTATTACAAAAAAAGAAGGTGATAAAGTGTTTTGCTACAATAAGTCCCTCACTTCGACATTATGCAACAGGCCCATCTCAAACCAATTTTTAAGTGGATTTTGAGTACAAGTGAAGTAAAAGTGAGTAACAAGTGAAGTAAAAGTGAGTTCATATGCTAAGTGATGGCCAATCAGCCCAATATAGAAACAGAAAAATGTTTCATCTGATATCCCAACACATAAAACAGCTTACTCCTGGTATTCTAAACTTTACTTGGAACTATAATGAATCCGGACATGGAAAAGGAGCTCCCGACGGAATTGGAGCTGTTATGAAAAGAACAGCAGATCGGAGAGTGGCAGAAGGAAAAGATGTGCATAATTACGAAACACTTGTTTCTGTATTAAAAGAAAATTGCTCAGTAACTTTATTTGAAGTTACAAATGAAGACATGAAAAAATTTGATAAATTAATTGAGGGTGAAATAAAACCATTTACTGGCACTATGAAAGTTCATCAAGTTGCATACAGTTCAAGGAATAACATATTGAATTTTCGCTCTCTTTCGTGTTTTGCATGTGATGCATCAATTTTGTGTGAACATTATAATTTGGGAACTTATAAAATAGTTCAAACAGAGATCAGAAGAAGAAATCCAAAGAGTCCAAAATTTAAAAACTTTGCGTAAAAGATAACCAGGCAGTTTTTTTTTTAAAATCAGAAAGCAGTAACTATACAGAACTTTCAAAAATGTATATTTTGCATAAGATATTTTTTTCTAGTCCTTTTGAAATAAATTTTGACTTCGTCAAACTTCATCAAGAAAAATAAGTTATCACTTTCACACATAAATACGTTTTCCAGCTTCAAATATTTTAATAAATCTTGTTAAAGTACATAGTAGAGATGTTAAAGATTAACATAAAAACCTACCAATCTTATATTTTTAAATTTGAATAGGGGAGAGTCGGGTAGCCCCGCCCAGCGGATACCCCCGCCCACTGTCAATTTCATATGTATAGAATATTTTTTCAAGTCAATGGGCCATCGGACATAAATTTTTACATTAAAAGAAGATTATTTTCAAAATTTCAAGTATTTATGCAGCTGTTAACATGGTAAACAATAGTTTTGAAAATATTTTGAGTACAGTAGCCATGAAATTAAGAAAATTGGTTGAATGTTTCGATTAAACTTCATTTTAATCCTAAAAAAAATAATTTTTTCTATACATTCAGCACTAAGGTATGTAGTCTTAAGTTTATTTTGCACAAAGAAAGAAGTCTATATGTGAAAAATTGTTCGAGTAACTACAAATTTACAAATAAATTGGATTTCGGGTAGCCCCGCTCACATGAATGTCGGGTATCAACGACCAATTTTATTTCGTCGATAAATGTACGGTTGCAAAGATTATTATTTTATTGCTTCAAATTTAAATGTTATATGCATTTTTAACAACAAATATTGTTGTTATTAAATGATTGTTATTAAATGATAGAATTCACTAAAAGTATATAAATATGTAATAAATAAAATAATTTTGTGATAAAAATGATAAACGTGGTTTACCTATTGTCAATACATTAATCATTTTCATTTACACCTGAAAAAAACAGTAAAAAACATAATTTTCTTAACTGGGCGTATCCGACACATTTTAAAAAGAGCTGAAAAACATGTTTTTTTAAATTTCTATTTTTTTATGTTAAACTATTCTTTTTTTGGTTTATTCTTTTTGCATTATTTAACTAGATGATAAAACAATAGAAACATGCAAAAATATTGATTATTACTCCATATTATACAGAAATATAAGCAATACTCCTTAAGTGAGCGGGGCTACCCGACTCTCCCCTACATAAAATCTAAGGCATTTTACACAAAGAGAAAAAAAACAGTAAATCATTAATTAAGTTTGCTTGTAACATGTAAAATTAAAATTATTTGCTGTTATTTTTTTCTTCTCTTACAATTAAATTTTTTTTCTTTGAAAGTTTTTCTTAAACTATTAGATTTTGACAGCTAAGTCATATCATTTCATTCCCCTGCTTGGACAGCAAATTCATCAGCGGACTTAGTAAGTTCATCTATGCAACACAATAACCTAAGGAGTTTCTAAGGACTAATTTGGAAATTTAAGTAGTTTTAAGTACTCCTTGGAGACCTTTTATTAGAGACCAAAATAGGAGACTGGGTGCTAGTTGAGTATGAAAAAATTTTATACCCCGGAGAAGTAAAGATCTTACATTGTAAAAATGTAACAATTGATGTAATGGTTCCCACAAATGCAGGAAAATACAAATGGCAATTTCCAAAAGACATACATAAATACACAAAAACAGACATCAAAAGAAGAATTCTACCACCCATTCCATGTGACAATCGTGTCAGCCAATTTTATTTCGCAAACCTGTAAAAACTATTAAATGTATAAAACTAAATTATAATAAATATGAGATATACTTAGTATGTTATCATTTTCAAACTTGAGGTAGCTGTAACTTAGCGAAAAACATGTATTAAAATAAAATATCATTCCCTCACTATAAGTCATTCCCTCACTTTTTAAATAGTGAAATAAATTAATTTATTTAAATATTAAGTATAATTTAAAGGATATATATTTTCTTTATAATGCCATAACATATTTCTATTAATATAAAAAGTTTCAGATCTTTTTATTCACTTCACTGCTTTGGGATTTTATGAACTGAAAAATGACAGTTTTTGTGAGAATGACCCAAATATATTATATATATAAATTTTCAACTTCCTTGTTTTACTTAGACAATCAAACGGATTTTGATGTTTTTAACCTCATACTTTTCAGTAAGGATTTATTAGATTTCAGGAATTAAGAACAGTAAAAAATGATATATGTGCCACTTATCACAAGACTTGCCACAATTAAATCTTCTTGATTGTTGTTGTAGTTCATTTACGTCCCACTAGATCTGCACAATGGGCAATTGGCGACGGTCTGGGAAACATCCTTGAGGATGATCCGAAGATATACTATCATAATTTTGATCCTCTGTAGAGGGGATAGCACCCCCGCTTCGGTAACCCAACTACCTGCAAGCGAAGTCGAGCACTTTACGGTAGCACAGTTTAACGAGGACTAATACCGCACACCCTCGGTCTCTACGCGGACTGATCTGAGTGGTCCCCCACCCGCACACTGACCGCAGCCAGTGATGCTTGACTTCGTTGATCAGCTAGGAACCGTGTATTAACAAATTAAGCTCATTTGTCCAATCAAATTTTTCAATGGCTGATGCATCTTATACTGCTCGACAGCAACAAATATGTAAGCTATTTGCAATAGTATTGACGATGTGCTTTCCATCCAATACAAAAGATCTTTGGGAAAAATACAAAGACAACGATAGTGAAAACATTCTACAACGTTTACGAGCAACAAACCAAAATTCGCACATTCAATCCTGTCCTAGAGTATATAATGAAGCTTTAATTTTAATCGAGGACATATCGCTGGTTCAAAACTAAAACGACACATCTGCAAGCATAATACGTTTGCAGATGTGTCGTTTTAGTTTTGAACCAGCGATATGTTTAACAATCTTTAATGCACTGTTACAACTGGAAATTCCTGCATCAAATAGATTTGCAAACAATCTATTCGATGGTGATTTTAAACATCACACACATTTTGATGTCGACAAATTAAGCTCATTTGTCCAATCAAATTTTTCAAAATTAGTTCTCGAACAACGCATAGGATACGGCAAAATTCTGACTGCGATTACAAACCGAAGCGATGGATTGTTTTTCTTAGATGCGCATGCACCTGAACGTACTGGTAAAAAATTTCTCATTTCCTTTATTCTGGAAACCATACGATCACAAAATTAAATTGCAATGGCATCCTCTAGAATTGCGGGGCAACTCTTTTGGATCGAGCAGCGCATTCTGCATCTAAAGTGTCTTTGAATATGCAATTTACTGAAACATCCACATGCAATAAAATTCTGTAATGGTTAAAATACTTCAACTGTGCCAACTTATTGTATGGGATGAAAGTATGCTAATGCGCGTAGAAAGCTATAAGCGCTTCATCATACACTTGAGAGAAAATTAACAACTTTTCTGCAGCGTACTAATTTTATTGTCTGGTGATTTACGGCTAAGTCTACCAGTAATACCACATTCAACTCCTGCTGCGGAACTTCATGCATGTCTCAAATCATCAGTGTTATGGCAACATGTACAAAAATTGAAGACCAGCATGCGTGTTAAACTACAGCATGTTGCATCAGCTGAACGTTTCGCAAAGCAATTGTTGTATATTGGTAGTGGAATAATGACAATAGATAAATCCACTCAAAGCATTACACTGCCAATAGACTTCTGTAAAATTATTTCAACCGCAGGTGAACTTATTCCCAACGTTTTTCCAAATATCGCACGAAAATTACAAAAATCTTCAGTGAACGCGCTACATTAGCAGCGACTGTATGACATCAATAATCATATTCTAAAAGAAATTCTCTGTACCAATATCTGTGTTTTATACACCTTGTTTATGTTATTAATTCATACAGAAACAGTGTTTCAAAATAAATAAATTAAAATACAATTAAATGTAATTAGAAAAGAAACTGGATATTTTACGAAATCCTGTAGACNTATTCATGATTAATATTCATTTTTTATCACTAAATAGTTGTTATAATCATAAACTCAAAAAAAAAGAGACATATTTGTAAATTTTAATTACTTCTCCAGGTCATCATAGGTATGTGTAAAATTTTAAATATATTTTTAGTAAACTAAGAAATATTGAGAAAAGGGAAAAAAAATCTTGTTTAAATTTTTTTCTAATTTTTTAATTTAAACTGTTTTTTTTTTTTTTTTTTTTTCATTNTTTTTTTTTTTTTTTTTTTTTTTTTCAAATTCAGGAAATTTTCCGGAAATTTGACTTGGACTCACAATCACCCCTGTTTTATACACCTTGTTTTTGTTATTAATTCATATAGAAACAGTGTTTCAAAATAAATAACTTAGAATACAATTAAATGTAATTAGAAAAGAAACTGGATATTTTACGAAATCCTGTAGACGGGTGTTGTTTTACTTTTTTCAAAGATCTATTATTCTAGATATCTAGAAGTAGAAGATTTTCTTTTAACAAAAAATGCTGTTAAACTAGAAACCTTTAAAAATTCGATTTTTTTAATTAATTTTTCTTTTCTGTTTTTAAAGTTATTAGTCATAATGAAAATAAAAGATTGTTGAGAACTCTGAAGAACAATTAGTTTTGAGACATTGTTTACCCTTCTAGACCTCTTATTGAAAGTGTTAAAAATAAATCTTAAGTATCAACTACTTGAACAGTTTCATTCATTGTCTTTAGGAAAAATAATATTTTAAGTGGTCATTGCTTTTAAAGGTTAACAAACCTACCTCTTTATACCCTCTCGCTAAATACTTTTAACGAAAGAAAGAAAAAATGGTATATATAACTGTATTGTAAACGCCTTTACCTAAATTAAATCGTTTTTGCTGTTTATTTGGGATGTATTTTTGTTTAGAAAAAGTTTTTGTAATTTTTGTTTTGCATTCACAATGTGGTATACCATATTAAGATTCGATATTAAGCATAATTAACTGCCTTGAAATGGCACGTTGAATTTTGAAATCACAAAGGATGTTTTGCATTTGAAATTATTTAACACAATAATTATGTTCAAATTAAAACAATGTACATGTTTCAAACTCGTTTTATTACTTTAAATGATTTGTTGATTTTATATTTATAACAGTCAAGTAAAGATGATTTATTAGGATTATTAAAAACATCTCTACCTTATGAAAGTATTAATAAGTTAGGTTTTAAATTTTTCAAAGCAGTATCTTTAGTATCTATGACGTGACCAATGCGTCGAGCTCATTAAGTTGGTCGCCAAATCAATAACTCAACTCAAAATCAAGAACGATTAAATGAACTCGCATTATTAAGCATTCATCGAGAAATTGATTTGAATGTTGAAAAAATCATTTCTAAAAAACGCATTGCATTTATTATTGAAATATTTTGAAAACTTGAATTATTTACGTATTGTTCATTATGAGAAAAATTAATGAGAAGACTAGCATTTAAAACCCCCTTTTTTTCAAAAAAAATATTAAAAAATTTTTTTTTATAAAAAAAATTAATTGTGTGTGGGGGGGGGGAGAATCTGAGTCTATGACCCTCCCCAGGAGAAATTTCTGGATTCGCCCCTGGTCAGTCATGAGTTGTTTCGCAATTCTCAATATTTATGAGGTGCACTATAGTTCGTCTAAAATAAGAACTCCCCCAGACATTCGTCTGGACCTGTGGCGGTGACTATGGTAACGACGTCTGACTATTTCACGTAAGGGTTGCGGAGTGAAGCTAACCTCCCTAGAATGCGCCAATCTTGTTTCCATAGTACCAGACGGCCTCAGACTTTGTGGCGGAAGGAGTTCTTAGCTTAGACAATATATACATCCCCTTTAATCTTTACTTATCTTTTATGAATCAACCTGTACATAATATATAAAGGACGGTGACTACGGAAGACCTTGTATGTTGCTTTAATTTTCGACTCCTACCGGTTTTTAAATTTTCTTCTGAATATAAGAAATTGCGTAAAAAGGGGATACGATAGACTTTTTGCTATGAAGAATAAAACAAAACAGCGTGAATGAAGCACAAATGAAAATACTGAAACGGGGAGTACTGAATACTTAAACGGAGAACCTATAGTTTTAGCTCTATAAACAAGAATCTTCCACAAGCACGTCTTTGATGTTTCTGCTGTATCTTTATTTACTTTGTTTTGCTTTTTTATTAGATAGTATTTATTCTTTAGTCTAACTCTAGAATATTTTTCACAGGTGAAAAGTTTCCTGCAGGCCACTAACGAAATTGTCATAATGGACTTTCACCGATTTGTGACAGGTTTCAAGAGTCGCCAAGCTGGTGAAAGACACCGTGACCTCATATCTCTTCTAGAAAGAGAGGTTGGCGACATAATGATACCAGTGTCATTCTCAACCAGAGCCAGTTTGGAAACTTTATGGTTGACAAACAAGAGACTCTACGTTGGATACGCTGAAAAGAGATTTCGAACTGCCAGTCCGTATCTTTTTCCAGCAGTTAAGCATCTTTGGGGAGACGTTGACGAAGTTGATGATCTCTGGTCTTATCTTAACGACACTGTTTGCGAAAACTCGGGTGTTAGACTGACGTCTGCCATGGCCCAATTGACGCCCACCACTGCGGGTGTCCTTTTCAATTCTTACGGTGGATTGAGGAAGATGGCCTCTCTCGTGAATCGCCGGGTCACGCAATGGTTTGCAGAAAACTGGCTGGAATGTGCCAATATAGTTTCGACTGACTTCATTTTGGGAAATGGTATTACGGAGTTGGCGATTTCCGTAAATAAAAACAGAACTCATCGAGCAAATTTCTAGAATGAATTGGATATTAAGAAAACATGTTGTAATCACACGCATTAATGTTTCTATCGAACTTTTTAAAAGATGAATTGTTTTCAGTAAACAATTTATAGTGCATCAACTGATGATAGTGCACCAATCACTGAACTTTAGATTCATAATCCAATTAAAAGTTATTTATTTAATCACGCATACAGATGTAGGCTTACAAATAATAGCTTATAAACCCACGCCAAATAGAAGAATGGATAGCATGAAACAGCATGCATTCTAGAAAAAGATATACAGATTTATGTCGGTATTCGAACTCGCTTCAGAGAGTTTGACGATAGGACAATGTTCATCATGCACCAAAACTTATTTAATGTTAAAAAAAAAATCGCATTTTTATAGTTTTTTTGTTAAAAATTGCACAGCTACTAAGTTTTTAAAAAAGTAAGACATCATTAGAATTAACTTGAGCCAAAATTAGTGAACAAACAGAAGTGATTGAGAGACTAAGGTACCAAGCTATGGCAGAGAAGGCTCCCAGTTCGTGGTCCGACATTATTTAATAATTCAACTTAAATGTTATCTGAATTTTTTTAACTTTTTATACGCTTTAATTGTTTGAGCGGCAATAGCACATGAGATAAAGCACTCGCCTATTAATCAGGTGGATTGGGTTCGAATCTCAATGGTGGTTGATACAAATTCAGTAGGCAGGTACTTTTTTTTACATCGCACTATAATTCTGCGCAATGGGCTATTAACGAAGGTCTGGGAAACATCCCTGAGGATGATCCGAAGACTTGCCATCACAAATTGTGAGGCCAATTCCTCAATTTAAACGCAGATCTACAGCGGAACTTTCAGACCGGAGTCTCTAATCACTGGGCTACCACGGCCCTCCATACGAATTCGCATCCACCACAGTGTTGACGTTCTCAGGGATAGATGGATCAAGAGTTAGAATCCCCTTGTCGTCGGGAAATTAAACGTAGAGGATTTTTTGAAAGCTTCCTCCCCGTGTCGCGCAAATGCGATTTAGTTCCACCAAAAAGACCTCAACGAAAGCTAGTTTGTCGGAATGCTCGATCAAGGAATTTCTTTGTCTACTGGGTTGGATTCAAAATTCCAAGGTTATGGAGTTGCACATTGATAGCTGTGAACCCAAATATGGGTTTACATCAGTAAAAAACTAAACCCAAATAAACGAAGGCTGAAATTATCGGTAGAAGTTGTAGAGCATACCTTCATGCCTATTTTTATGTATCGAGTTCAGTTGACGATAACTATCGAAATATTATATTGGAATTTTGAAAGAATATTTGAGTATAAAGAACAAATATTTGCCGCTATATTCTTCTTAAATGCTTCGACTTTTTAAGAGAGTCAGTTTTAAAATTATGGCCAAAGGCATTTAAACTGTTTTATTAGAATTAAAGTGCATCAAAAACACAATAAAAGGAACATTGCTTTTTAAAGAAAATCACTTATTCTCTGGTTGATAACAGTGATTAATATAGAACAATCGTATTTGATGAACCAATCCACATGATTAATATTTGGATTAATGGACCAGAATTAAATTTTTTAGCAGCCTATGCTGTACCTCAACCGAGAGGGCGGTAGGTTCGTGACCCGAATTTGCTTAGACAGACCATCACCAACACGTGAACAAAGTAAAAGGGTTAACTATAGGAACTACGGTATCAGATGTTATCTGATATAGAAGACAAACAGGCATTAAAATTTTTACTGCTTCTTTGTTTTTTATATAATTTAAAATTATGTTTTTTTTTTCTTTTTGAAAATTTAATTTGGATGAAAATTTAAATGAGGGATGTATGCAAAAGGTAATTTATTTAGAAGATCGATATAAAATTTTGTTTTTAAAAATACATATTGAGAAAATACTCCTCTTTTTTCTTGTAAGATTGAATTGATAAGAAACTTCGATATTCACGAACGAGGTACTACGTATTAATGCTTGCTTGATTGATTGATACTACTGGTATATGATTCAGATTGTACTTTGGTTTTAAGCTTTCTAGGTTTGTTTATATGAACAGTGATATCAATGTTATACGTAAGATGCTGGAGATTTGTAATTTTAAACATTTAAACGTTATTTTTCAATAAAATTAATTAAAGTTATAGTCAGACGTAAAGTACAGAGTTATTCTTTAATGGAGCCATCTCGAATTTCATCGTATGGAGTCGTTGCAGTAAGCGTAATATTTTTGTTTTACTCAAAGCTTTTTTTAATTTTATGAATTTCATCATCATTTAGTAGAATAAAGTTCTGTGTGACATTTGGTTGAAAAAGATAAACGTAATTTATTAGGAAAACATCCAATTTTATTCTCATTTTAAAATATAAAGCTTTACGTTTCGCAGATATCAGTGCAAAAAAAAGTAGAGTGTTTTCGAAGTGGAAGAATGTTTCAAGTTTATTTGGCTAACATCGGAAGCATAGCCTTAGAAATTTCCATTTTTGACTGCCTGTTAAAACGCCATGAGAGTTAACGTTATAACGCGAACTGTTTAAACGAGTGTTATAGAGATTTATAGATTTCTCTGATAAGAAACTTGGGAACAAAAAATAAAAGCAAGACATACTCTTTATTTGTCAAGGCATAAACTTCTTACTCAGATTCACTGAAATGCCACTTCGAACTTTTATCACTTCCATTATTATTTAGTCATTGCTTTGAAAAATAAAGTCTTGAATTTTTATCTTTATTCGTATTTATATCTATAATTTATATTTATATCCATATTTCATAATCTAAGAATTGAGTGGCCTCTTATGCTTTTAATTTATTTTAATGTTAGGTGTTTCCTAATTAATTTTTGTTTAAAGATGTATGTTTTGATTAATATGCGAATGCAAAATAACATAAATGAGGAAAAAAATAGATAAATTTATTTGTACATGAGTTTTAAAAATTATAAATGCATGCTAAAATGAATAAACATTCTTTGCCTTTATCACAAATACACTATTTTTTGAACGATACTTTTGATTTTCAATTGAAGCATAGAAAAATGACTTGCAGCAAAACAATAATAAACCACAGTAGTGTTTTTGAAGAAAATAATAATTTTATGGGAGAAAAATTTCTGTGTAATATGCTATCTAGTGGAAATCCCGGAAACTCTAAGTACCTAGCTGAAAACAATACTAAAGTACAGTTTGATGTAAATATGTGACGTATCACTATATTGCCCTAAGTATTTAATATTTTATAAACTTCTCCATTCGAGTAGTCGGATTCTATTAATTCAAATTCCGCTTTGTTTTTGTAACATTATACATAATGGTTTTCTTTATTATGCATTAATAGATTTATTCACTCAATTTTTATAAGATTAAAAAAAAATTTCTTTAACGTGTGAAAAATAAAATTTATATTCATTATATTATTTTGATATCCATTTTTGTATTTTGTTTCAAATTTAAAAAAATCTTGCGTAAGATAGATCTTTTTTCATGCGAAAAGAGACTTCTACCATTTCAAAACCTCTTGGGTAATGAGTCACATTTTACGACGACGTGATTTCGCATCTACTCGAAAACCTTACCTGACACAAAAATTTTTAAAATATGCTTAATAAATATATTTTTTACACGCAAAATTTTATTCCTGAAAAATGACTTGTTCCTTGAATTTTTGAGTTACTCAAGAGCAAGCTATACAGCAGGGAACATCCTTTATGCCAAATTCTCTTTTATCTACATAATTAGTTTAGATCAAAGGGTGTTCACGTAAACCATTAAGTTTCAAAGGCTTAAAAAAGTGAAAATAAATTTTGGCAGAATTACGCAGCGGGGAAAAGTAATCCTGTTTCGATTTGTTTACATTTTGATAATTTAAAAAGCATTTGAAATCTCATGGCTTACTCTGAGTGTACTCACTTTTCTCTAAATTTTACAGTACTTTTGGAGATAAAACAGAAGAGTTTATCCAGCTTTACACAGTGAAAGTTCCCGGTTCAAATTACGGTACTGGATCCTAAAATCCATTTTTACCGTGAAATTTTTACAGTAATATGTATTTAGTTTGAGTGAATTTACAATAAATATTACTGTAAAAATTACGGTATGTTGTTACAGTAATATTTATTTAATTAAAGTGATTTTATAATAAATATTACTGTAGAAATTACAGCATATTGTTACAGTAATATTTATGTAATTTAAGTAATTTTGCAATAATTATTACTGTAAAAGTTACCGTATATCACATTTTTTGTTTCGTAAAAATTTTGCGATTAAAAAAAGGATTTTACGACAAAAAATTCCGACTGGTACTTTTTATCTTAATTTGATCCGTATTTTTTTACAGCGTATAGTGTCCTGTTAAGTCGCTTTTAAAGCAGTGACCTCAGAAAAGTTGGTTCAGCGTTGAACCAGATTATTTGAACCATAAATACAGTGCAAACTTACTGCAACCGTAATAAGGTGTTAAATTGAACAATGCAAGTTGAACTATAACATCATGGTATCAAGTTTAAGATATAGTTCGTTCACCAGAAGTTGGCACTTGGCTCCACCTCCTTGGAGGACGAGATCATTTCGGTGCGGCAGTTAGAGGAGAAAAGTCTCCGCGCTTGAAATTGAGACAATCCTAAATGCGCGCCAAACGCAAACAGTGAATTCTTTTTCAGTCACTTATTACTTCGATTTATCATCAGCTATTATGCCTTTCTTTACTCTAACTAATTAAATATATTGCAGCAAAATATCTCAAGAAGGCCAAACTATTCACTCAAAAGAGAGAAATGTTATCAAATTTATGAAATATTTAATGTTAAAAAAGTGCACATAAAGATTGCGAAATAAATATTTTTGTCATACTATATCCAAATAGCAACCTTGTTCAGGATTGTTCACATCCTTCTCCCAAAAACAGCGAAATAGTATCGTCGGATACTACGTGATGAAGGCTGAGTCAAGTGCCAACTCCTAGTGAACGAACTATAGTTTAATTAGCATAATGGTTCAAGATGGTATTATGGTTGAAGCAAATTTTTACGATTACTAGCTGCGTGTGTCTTGTAATTAGCATTTTTCATTTATTGATCTGAAGATTAAAAACATTTGCTACCATTGGTACGATTTAATTAACAAAAAAAAAGAAAATCCATACAGAAAATAATCCATTTTTAATGACAGTTAAAATGCCTTCCTATACAATGAGTTGTGCATGAAAATATTTTAAAATAACACCACCAAAAATGGGGTACCTTTCCAAATCATATAATCGAAATCGGTTCAATACACCAACTAAGTCATAAAAATCGAATTCTGAAATAAATTCAATTTTTATAAAAAATAATTGGTTGGTGTAATGTCTGATGATCCCTCAAACCAATCAATATTGGCCTGGCTGGAGTCTGGCGTACCCAGCGCCACTACGAGCTTGTATTTGCTCATCGCCATAGTCGTAAGATCCTCCCAAATCTCCTTGTGGGTCATAGCATATAGCAAATTTCTGGAAATAGTCTGTATCGACGATTTCATTTCCGCCACAGGCTCCGAATCCCAACTTGTGAATGCGTGCGAAATCCCAGCAATCTATGTACTGGTTAGCGTCGCAATCCTGTCCATATTTGCGCATGTAGCCTCGTACAGCTTCCTCTGCGCAAGTCCTGTTGTTTAAGCATGTTTCAAAATCTGCAAAGAAAGATGATGAGTGCGAAAAGTAATTAAATTTTTAATAATTAATCAACAAGGACAAGAAAAGGACATAAAGTTCATGTTATTGTTTACATTTTTGTGCAAAAGTTTGGTTTATTTTATCACTATTGTTTCAAATTTGTAAATATGTGTATAATTTTGTAAATATTCTTTTGTTATGAGGCTAAATATCTCAAGACGAACCCTAAGTAAATAGTTTAAATTAGATAGTTTGCGAGAAATTCGCGTAATTCTAACAGAATTTAAGTGAAAATAACGCCTTGTGCATTTCTTAAGGAAGATTCGGTTTGGCAACATTTTTCCGAACTTAGCGATAATCTTGGTATAACCAAATTTGGCAACAAAATAACAGTTCTGGAAAATTCGAGTTTCGAAGCGATAGGACTAATATTTACGGAGTTAAACGAGATTTGCTTAGATTCTAGATTGTTTCTCGACTCTAGAATCATGTCGGAGGTTCTGAGGCTTATGAAAAACAAGATGGAATTATGTTCGTTTTTAACATTTCTGTATTAAAATCAAGCATAAAAATGCTACCGTTTTACACTTTTCCTTACAATGTTGCTCAATTAAACAGTAAAAAAATACATTTCATTTGTCGCAATAACGAAAGGTTATTAACGCGTTATGAACATTATAATTATTGTATTTTTCAATTCCTATATCTTTACTCAAATTTTCAATCGTTAATAAAATACTTTTTATTTATCCACTCACGTTTAAATACATTTTTTACAACTTGTAGTAGATGACATTTGATGTTAATACAGTTTTTTCAAATATTAATTCATTAATTAAATGTAATAAATAAATTTTAGTTTCATATTTTGAGAAAAAATTATAATTATATAATAAAAAATAACTTTAAAAAAATTTTCTTTGTTGCTCTTAGTAGGAATTGTCTTTATTATTTTTTTTATCTTGTTAATATTAGTATTTTGACGGTGAGCTGTCATGATAGTGGATATACAACAAAGCAGAATTATTAAAAAAAAAAGTGAAATGTATAGAATCTTACCATGAGCCCTTCCTTTGTCTCCTGGTCTACCCCCATCATGCCAGTAAGCCCAAGAAACAACATAAGGCCCGCAAAAATAACTACTGCCCGCTGTATGGCACTTGAGAGTTTCATCACAGTTGCTGCTGGCCTGAAAAACAATATTTATTCCTTACATTTCCGCATAAGGGAGAATTCACATAATTTTGATTTTTCAAAAAGAATATGCTTTCGCTTTCCCAAAAATATTTTAACAAATGACCAAGAAAACAAATGACCCTATAAAAGCGTAATGTGGAATTTAGCTTATTATTGTCCGGATAAACCAGAATTCGGAAATTTAATACTGAGAATTTACCTAGCAATTATATTTAACTTCCCAATTATAGAAAATAACGTTAGTTTTCAATAGCTTTTATCTTTGGTTGATTTCTTTACGTCGTTTTAAGTTCATCAATGCCTTTGTGGGTCTTATTTGAAAGTCATATTTGGTGGCCTAATTTGCAGCGAAGATTGCGTGCCTGAAATGCCCTATTAATTGTCGTAAATAAAAAGATATAATGTAGCTATAGCTCTGTGAATTATAATTATGTTATTGAATAAAAAGACAAGATGTTAAAATTATTTAAGTGTAAAAAAAGTTGTATGCCATTGCACAAAAGTATCAATAACAAATCGATGTTCTCGATCCATAATATTGATACCAACCGAAATTATCAAGAAGGTGGTACGTGTTCAGGCATGCAATTTAGCCAAAGAGGATAGCCAAACGATGACTAAGGATACTAGAACTTTAAATTCGTTACATTTATTTTTATTATTAAATAAGACTTTTTAAAGGCAAAATATTTGACTCAAACAAAATATTTTACGAAAAGTAAAACATGATTTTTAAACAAGTTTATGTACATATATAATTTTTAATGATATAATATGGAGGATAAATTATGAAAAAATGAGCATACATCAGAAGTTGTAATATTATTTCTTATTGAATTTTTCTATTAAAAAATAGAAAAACTAAATTCCACAATAAAGAAATTTGCTTCCACGAAAATAATCCTCAACTTTAATATCTGTTATTTTTTGTTTTCCATTTCACGAAAAAACCTTGTTTCAGTTTATTTTATTCATTTTCAGCGTATGCAAGAAGCGATTCAGAACTACACCGCTCGAGTCCTGTAAAATTTGTCAAGCTTACAGCCTAATTTTAAGACTAATGCAGATCAATCGAAGAAAGTTCTTTATTGATTAGCGTGTTAAAAAATTACGTTCTGTTAGGATTCCGTTAAAAAAGAAAAAAAAAGTCGATAATTTAGGGTTCCGAAAAAAATTGGGAACCGCTACTCTCGATATCTCAAATGTCCATAATTTTGCTCCCCTCCACAGGGGACTATGATGTTGGATAAACCAATGATCTAAATCAGTGGTTACCAATTGGCGGCCCGCGAACCTAAATATATTAGCAGTCATTTTTTTGCGGACAATTTTCGTAGAAAATCGATATAGGTTTTAAATACTTTTAAGTTTTATGTATTAAAACTTGATATCTGTTGCACTTTAATTGTTTAATACATAGGTGCACAATTAAAGTTATTGTATCCAGAATTTTTCAATATGCAATTAAATGTTTTTAAAAATCTACTTCCTATTTTAATTTGTAATTCAATACTTTTGTTTTGCGCAACTTGATAAAAATCTGACAGTAATATTTAATGTTTCTTCAAACATAAAAGAGTCCTATATAAAATTTTGATAAAGTTGTGGCCCGCCATTTGACTAGTGTTCTTAATTGCGGCCCCGGCCTCATGTAAGTTGGAAACCCCTGATCTAAATGGTAGAAAAACGTTTTTCAAATAAACAGCAAAAAAAAAAAAAACAAAAAAAAAAATCCGCCCAAAAAAGGTTTATCATTTAGGGTTCCGAAATAAATTGGGAACCATTACTCTCGATATCTCACGTGTCCACAATTTTGCTCCCCTCCACTGGGGACTATGGTGTTGGAAACATATACTCTAAATCAGGGGTTTCCAACCTACATGAGGCCGAGGGCCGCAACCTCATCAAAATTTCATATGGGACTCTTTTATGTTTGAAGGAACATTAAATATTACTGTCAGATTTTTATTAAGCTGTGCAAAACAAAAATATTGAATTTCAAATTAAAATAAGAAGTAGATTTTTAAAAATATTTAATTGCATATTGAAAAATTCTGACTACAATAACTTTAATTGTGCACCTATGTATGAAACAATTAATGTGTAGCAGATATCAAATTGTTAAGATACAAAATTTAAAAGTATTTAAAACCCCTATAGATTTTTACGAAAATTGTCCCCCAAAAAATGACAACTAATATATTTTAGTTCACGGGCCTCAAAAAAGGCTTCGCGAGGCCGGATGCGGCCCTCGGACCGCCAGTTGGTAACCACTGCTCTAAATAGTAGAACAACGCGTTTCAAATAACCAGCAAAAAATAAGTAAAATAGAAACGGTTAGCAAAATAAAGATAAAACAAAGATTTTTTTTTATTTGTTGAATGCCAGTTTCATCACAGCTTTGGCGTTGTGCCTGAACTATAAATTGAAAGATTTCTTTAAACTGAGAAATTCACCGAACAAGACGATAAAACAAAATATAAAAGAATGATTCCAGAAACAAGCATTTTGTTGAAGGTCGATACAAGAAGGAAGTTGAAACCTACAAATTGACATGATTACTCATATAAAGTGAAACATTGAGTGAGTGACTCACTTGGCAAATGCAATCGAGACACCGGTGATCCATTTCAGGTATCTTTTTAGACGGTGGTTGTTGCTGGGCTAGGAAAAAAGAACAAAATCAACATAAAAAAAAGAAGCGACATTTAAAAAAAGAAAAAATCATGTTCCATTAAAACCTCAATGAAAAAAGAAGGTTATTGTGTGCCATTAATTGATTTATTGGTTGAACTTAGTGGTCAAGACGAAAAAAAAAAACTCCTTTCCTTTTCTTTTTGTCATGCATTATTTATTATTTTTCTTTGTAAATAAATGACTAATGGCTATATTCAGTTTTCTTTTTCTTCTTGATTTGCGATGCTTGATTTTTTTTTTAAATGCGCAAAGTTATAATATCCGGGAAAAAAAATATTGATAATATCGAACCGATCAGTACCAATACTATTTATTTTATTTTATAACCGTTGTTGAACAGTCGATCTAATTTTGGGTTTACGAGTACTACTATTCGTCTCCGTAGCATTGTAATTTTGAACCAATCCAGAAGACAAGGAAATTCCTGGATCAGCAATCCCAGGGGTATGATTTCTTATGGGAACATGGAGGACTTTGTGACTCCACAGATTTAACGTTCATCAGTCACCATTTACTACACAGAGAGTCTTCGGGCGGCAGGGATCGAATCGACGACCCCTTGGACATGGGCCCAGTGTCCTACCAACCAGGCTATCCCGGCCGGCCCCAAATTTCAATCATATCGAAAAAAGTAACGATATTTAATATTATCTTTATAAATTTAAATTTTCGGGTAAGCTAATTGTTAATCATACATAGTCAGGGCCCGCCCTAAGCATTCGCCAACTGCGATAAAATCTCATATTTGGCGAATAAAATTGTGCTTTCGCGAAAATATTGGCGAATTTTCCCAGTGGAAAGAAATTAAAATTACGTCAAAATAATTTTTTCTAAACAAATCAGTATCTTCTATTCAATTACATTAATTCTCGGTACATGAGCCGCATAGCGAATTAAAATTGGGTCCAAATATTATAAGCCTGAAACAAACTACCGTAAAATAATTTTCCATGGTAAAAAAAAATTATCATAAAAATTTTTTTAGATTGGCATTTGGCGAAGACTTTCGAAAATTGGCGAATACTTTTGATATTTGGCTAATTTACTGGATAATAATTTGAATTCCTTAACAGGCGCTAGTAACTACTACAGTTGGCAAAAGCACTATAAAAATAATCATTTATTGAAGAAGTTGAATTTAGTTTATTGTGGTTCAGCAGATAAACCAGAATTTAGAGATTTAATTATAAGTAGAATTCAGGTAGCAATCAGCTATATTTAACTTATCTACGAGGGAAAATAAAAATAAAAGCACCAATTTTTAATAGCTGCAATCTTTATTTTCCAAACGTTGTATCAAAATCTTCGTGGGTCACAACTGGTCTTTCTCAACAGCTTTAGGGGCGCGACGAGTTTGATAAGCCAGAAAGATGTTTGTAAATTAAAACAATAAATGTATATGAAATACATTTATTACTATGTATAAAAATCTAATTAAGGTGTCGCAATTTTCCATATTGTTCGTGCATTTTCATTTTCCGGAAAATCACGTGGTAGGATCTAGTTTTGCCTCATTTGTATCCCTAATTTAAATTTTTCCAGTATTGCTATTATTACGCTTTTAATTCAAGAGTTTAAAACTACGAGAATCGTTTTTTATTTTTATTTTATTACTGTTATAATGTAATTCGGCTCTACATTTTAAGAAAAATTATTTGAAATGGTAGTCTAATCGTATTAACCGTTTAACAATTATTATTTTTGTGTTAACAACATTAATATACTGTTATAAATTACAGTTAAAGAGATCTATAAAATGATTTAGAACTTAACGATCAGCTTCGTGCACAATGAGATGCAAGCAAGAATAACATTTAATATATCCCCCGTTTGGTAAACGAAAATATTAAATTACGATTGTGAACTCATCAAATTTGTTTGAACAATATAATGTTATAACAACATAAATGTTATTTTCAAAAATGATTACTTAGGAAAATTACTTCTGTTCACTAATAGAGATCTAATAATTTATAATACTAATAGATAATAATATTTGGAAGTGGGAAATCAAGGCAGAAGCTAACAGAATTCGTTTTAGTATATGTATGTTAAGTGAATAATTTTCACTTCAACTCCGTACCCTTCTAATTCTGAACCCAATCCAGAAGACAATGAAACTCTTGGATCAAGTATTGGGAGAAATTTGCCTTCGTGGAGGACTTTTTGATAGAACTAACACGCATTTGCGTTATATGGAGAGGAAGACCACAAGAACCTCCCATGGTTAGCCTGACTGCAAAAGGAACTCTAACCCATGATCCGTCTATCACTGAGGATATTTCACGTCAGCACTTTGGTCGGTGCAAGCCGGATGCGGATTCGTATCCACCAGCCATCGCTTAGTTCGAACCTGGTTCACCTCATTGGAAGGCCAACGCTCTATCCCCTGAGCCATCGCGACTCAACCATCGGGGTTGGTGAGCGGCAGTCAACACGGCTTCCTAGTATGCATAAAAAATTGGAATGTCTTTATATTACATTATTTTTAAAGAGCGTCGTCACATTCTCGCTTCGATCAGCAACTGCCATGATTGATTTACAATTAATTTTGTTTCTGCATAATAAAAAGATAGTTGCATCAAAATTGAAAAAGACTAAAAAATTCCCAATTTTTTTTAAAATTTTATTTATTGTTTTAGAAATGCAGAATAGATCTTCAGAACTAGATTATAATTCTATTGGGAAAAATTGAAATAAATGATTTTCCTTGATTAAGCATCACTGGAACTTCTCTAAAAACTTGAATTTTACAATTCTTAGTTTTTGGTTGCTTACTAAAAGTTAAATTTTTTTACTGAAGAGATTATTTCGCATTGATGCAATAAATTAATTCTTAATATGGCTATATAATTTTAAATGTTTTTTTTTTTTTTTTGAATAGTTGCAAACGTTGACTGAACGCAGTCAGATCAAAATTTATTATAAAAGTAAATAATATTTACCAAAAAGCAAATATAACTTATTTATCTTTTAATAATTGTAAAACGGTAACTAAATATCTTTTCTTTATCACGAAAAGTTGCATCATAAGATAATATCTATTATTATAAGATATCTATATAAGTATTAGTATATATAAGCTATCTATCACTTTATAATGCAGGGATAAAATAATAATATACTTTTAATTTCTACCGTAATTAAAAATAATAAAAAAAATTATATTTAGAAATTTAATGATAGGAAAATAATGATATTTAGATTTTTTTTTTACAGAGAATGATATTTAGAAGGAATGATAAATAAATATTGCTGAAAAATATTGTTAAACAAGGTATAAATGAACAATTTACTGGGAAATACTGTTATTATAACTTTTACTAACTTCATACTGATCGATGTCGAACATCTATGAATATATTTTGTTTGTCGAGAGTTATATATTATCTTTTGTTATATATTGCTATATGTTTCGTTATATGTTATTTCTTTGTTATATATGTTTTGCTATATGTTATTTTTTATTTGTTGTTCATATATTATACTATTTTTTGTCCATTGAGAATGTATAAAATGATAAAATAACAATTGTTTTTTTATGATATAAATAAATAAAAAGCTTAATTTTAATAGTGATGCATACATTATACACAACTTTAATTGCTTTAATTTTTTTTTGAATAGTTATCTTTAATGATAGAGGGAGCAAACGTAAAATTTGCGTTAGTTAATTGCTTTGCAATTATTTTTTTTTTCTTTCATAATAAACAGACAGTTACTTCAAAATTAAAAATTACTTAAAATTTTGCCAAAATATTTTATTGTAGTGCACAAAAAATAAAACGAATCACCCTGAATAACGTTTGATATAATGATTGGATCTTCATGTTCTAGAACTCAATCTTAATGATTTAAGGGGATGACCTCGAATCTGCAAATTAAATGCCCATTTTTTATAATAATAAATCGTATTTTAAAAAATTTCATTTCTGAAGAACTATTTCACCAATTTTGCACAAATTTTGTATTTCGCCTCATAAAATTACATTCTTTAAAACGATGGAAAAAATTGCATAATTTATATTTCAAAATTTTTTCGACTATTATTAAATAAAAAAATAAAAAGTAATAGATATTAAGTAAAAGTTATATTTTTTTGCATGGAAATTATCCCTGGATACAAGAATTTTCTAATTGCTTATAATAAATATTTCATTCGCTCAAAAAATTCTCGAGATAAGACAAAATACGCAAAAAATAAAATTAACATTAAGGGGTCCAAACTTTCGACGGCTCTCCTTGACCAAACTATTAGGATCATATTTCCCAGAGTATGGCTACCACCTACATTTTGGGTGTCAGAAATCCGATTCCGTCGAGAAAAAAAAATTTATGTTTATTCAGCGAAAGTACGTTTTTGTGTCTCATTTCGTAACTTAATATATCGTTTGCACTAATTAATTAGTATATTCGAGGTCATTCCTTCCAGCCAATAAGATTGAGTTCTGGAGCGTGAAGATTCGATCACATGCAGGGTAGACCGTTTTTATAATTGTGTTTACAATCATACAGTCTAAATATTCATCGTTCCTTTTTAAAATTTTATTTCATGAAGTTTTTCTTACCAATTATATTTTTATATTTATTATTATAGTAAAAATGGCAAATTAAACGAATGTAATGAAAAATCGTTGCTATTTAGTTAAATTCATTGCTTGTATTTATTAAATTATTTCTTATTAATTTAATTTATTTCTATATTTTTTTTCTCTTTTTGATCGGTAAAGAGGAAAAATCAAAAGATCTATAGCAGAATATCCCCCCCCCCTCCCCCTATATTTGCTGAAAAATGAAATTTTTTCGAATAAAACTATGTTTATTCTAGTTAATATATTATACTTATTAATTACAGTATTCTCTCGATATGCCTCGAAAACCTTGTTATGTCAAAAAAATATTTTTCCTCTTGGTATTATGTTATACATCTAATATTAATTTGAATTCCTATGTCGAAGAGTTTCTTCTCAAAACTTTGTTATGTCAAATTTTTTTCGAAATAAAAATTTAATTTTTTTGAAAAAATCACAATGTAGAATTGTTGCACACTAATTCTTTTCTATTTAATACATAATTATTATTGTCTTACTTTTAAAAATAAAATTATCATTGTTGTATTTAGTCAACTATCATTACATACATATTTAATAGTAGTTATTAATATGTTTGAAGACTCATTTTTTAGAGTGATATTTTAAAATATATTTTTCTACTTTTTAGAACATATTTAGTTCTGAACTTGTTATCTCGAAAACTCGCTATCTCGAAATTTTCTTAGCGTCCCATCAACTTTGAGATATCGAGAGGATATTCTAGTATATTTCTTCGCGTTAATATTTAGAATAAACAAGTAAATTAACTACTAATAAAAGAGTAATAATAATGATGAGTAATAATAATAATAAATGAGTAACTACTAATAATTAATAAATGAGTCTACATTTAAAAAAGAAAGAATTTCCCCCCATTTATGGTGGAGTGTTCCATTTGCAAATAGAAACACCCCACCCCCTGAATAAAAATTCCAATTGAGACCCTGCCTAGGGATTATTTTTACATTAATTATTTGAAAGTATAAAACAATTTTTAATCTATTTTCACATGCAATAACAATTTCCATTTTAAAATTTGTGTTTAAAAATGTGTTTCTTACCCAATGCAAGGCCAGCAAAAACGATGAGGAACAGATATTGATACATGTTCAATTGAATCGGAAGTAATGTTTAAAAACTATCGTCTGCAAAGATGTGCGAGGGCAGATTATAAGAAAAGGGAGGTTGAAAAACCGGTCTTTTTTACATTTCACTAACAAAAAACAACAAAAAATAGCTCCGGGGGCTAGATTTTCAAGAGCAGTGATCTTCAAAACCTGCTCTCCGTTTTCACCAAAAGAATCTACAAATAGAATAATATCCAAAATTCTACCAGAAAACGATTTCCTTTACCATTCGAAGAGCAACTTCCTTAAGCGGAAAAAATAAATCAATAAATAAGTAAAAGGAAAAAGGGTTTCCCGAAAGTTTTTGTTTTAAGTCAAAAGTAGTAAATAGGATGTTACACGCAATATCAGCTTTTAAATGTTTCGAATATTCCAAGGAAGGAAACAAATCCAGAACTATTTGTACACATTTATTTTTAGCAATATTGTTTCATACGAAATGGAAATTGTTATTTGTGTTTTTATAATAGAAATATCAATAAAGTAGATGACTTTTCTATGGATAATTAGTTACGTGGGTTTATATGACATTTTTCATTACTACAATATTTTATTAATAATTATAATTCGAGGTACTATATTTGGTTAGCATTTTCAAATTGTATCCATTTTTTTTTTCCATTTTATCTTAGAGCAATTTAAATCAAAAACGTATTTTTTCCAATTCATTACCGTTTTTTTATTCTCCAAATATGAAATGATGATATTTATGAAAAATGCTCTGATAAATTTTTTTTCTGTAGTTCTTTTTAGAATTGTATAAGTCTTTTAAAATGATATTTTGACATTTTGTAGAAAAAAACAAAGCAAATTTAAAAAACGTTTTGTATAGATCTGCCTGAAGGTTTGCGTTATCTGAATATCGTTATCATGGGTAAAAAATTCATAAAATATTGCTCAACTCGACAAAAAATTCGAGGTTTGTGTGATAAGGTGGGGATGAAAAACACTTTTTAATTTTTCGTGTTATCTTTACAGGAATGCACTCATGATTTCGAAAAATTGTTTTTTTTTCTTTTCTTTCTTCTTCTTTTTTTTTACCTTTTTGTTTCCTATCTTTTTAAGGTAGGACATATATAAAAAATGCTAAAACGGACCTTTTTGATGTACCTTTCTGATAAATTACTCATGGTATGGTTATGAAATTTTTTGGGGATATTTGAGATTATATGTTGTGATAATGTTTAAACGTTGACAGGAATACTTTTTGAGTTATAAAAGATTTTTGTTAAAACTTCTTAAAAAATTAAAAGTTCATAATTTTTGAAAAAAAATGTCTGCTAAAGATATGTATTAAAAGTTATCACAGTGTAAACATGCATAAGAAAATGTTCCGCGAAAAGTTTAAGCAATAACTTGTTTAGATGCTGAGAAAAGATACATAAAAAAAGTTCGGTTTTAGGATATTATTAGTATATGCCCTACCTACTACCGTTAAATTTTCTATACTCTAGCTCAGGGATGGCGAACCAATGGCACGCGTGCCATTTATGGCACGCGACACAATATTTTGGGCACTCCACCAATCACAATTGTTGTTACACTATGAATTGTTATTACACAAACGTTATTACGCTATGAAGCATATGTAACAATAAAATTAAAATTCATTAAAAACAAACAAAATAATAAACAATTATTAATAAAAAAAATTAAAAATTAATGCTAAAAAACAAGCTAACAATAAATAACTAGCAAAAAAAATCAACAGTCCTACTTAAACTAACATTTTACAACCTAATATAAGTTATTGGTCATCAAATCTGCAACAACAGAAGTCACACTGATGTTACTGTAAGTTGAATTACTTGTATAACCGAGACATTGCAAAATGTCTTTTTTATTTCAATCTAAATAAAGAGTTTTGAGTTGATACTATTTAGTATTATTCTTTTCCCAATAATCACGAAGTCAAAATTATTTGACGGCACGTCTATGACCTCATTAAGCAATTTTTTATAGAAAATGGCACGTTGGTGTATAAAGGTTCGCCACCCCTGCTCTAGATAAACCTTGCGAGATTCCGTAAGATTTCCCTAATTTAATTTCATAATATTCCTTTCGGTTCTTTCTTTCTTTTTTTTTTTAAATAATAAAACGGATAATTTTTTATGAATGTTTGCAAAAATCGCTCTTGGTTCTGCAAAATATTCTTTGTATTGCTAAAATAACGTTTGGTGCACTCACTGCAATTTTTTATAACTTTCACAAATTTAAATATTTTTTTGCACTTTGTGAATTTTTTAAAGTTATAAAAGTGCTGCGTTACATAAATTAAAAGAATTATTTTATTCAGTTTTATTTCTTTTAAGGAAAATATTTAATTTATGAAGTTTTATAAAATAATGAGTATATGTAAACATCACTAAGAGCAATTTTAGTAAAAACAGGTTGTTTTTCTTTTTTTTTTATCTAAAGTTTTAAAACAGTTTTTTTTTAAATTTAAAGTTTTAAAATAGTTTTTTTTTAAAACAGTTCTTTTTTGCACGTAAAGTTCGTAAATATTATATCCAACATGATTGAACTGTCCTAAAGTAATTTAAATAAATAAATATTTTTCAACCTACTATTAAGATATGCCAAATCTAATATAAATTTACTCTTTTCTCTCGTGGATGTAATTTTCAAAGAAAAAATTGTTTTTTAAAGAAAAAAATTATTTTAAAGAAAAAAAAAAATTTTTTTTTTAAAAAATATATACTTTTTTAAAGAAAAAAATTTTTTTTTGAAGGAAAATCTTGATTTAAAAAAAAAAAGAAAAATACGGAACATTGTTTTTATATTTGGCAATCCATCTTTATTCTTATTCACTCGTGAGGTAGCTCGAATATGTGATTATTCATAAAATAAGATGAAACTGGTTTTAAATTTCTGTAAATATTTGCATTTTCTTCAGTTTTTCTTTGGTGGGGGTGGAGGTGGTGGAGTAGCCATGCAAGTTGCGAAGTTTTTGTAGAAATCTGTCTGGAGGACTGCGTTGTCTGAACACTGTCCAAATCCCATCTTGTGAATACGGGAAAAATCCCAGCAGTCGATGACCCCGTTGTTGTCACAATCTCGTCCATACCTCTTCATGTAACCACGCACGGCCTGTTGAGCGCAAGCCTTGTTAGTCAAGCAGTGTTCGAAATCTATGAAAAATAAAACTTGCTTTACACGACGAAGACAAAATAAAACAATGCTATACTTTCTAATATGGTTTTTATGCCATTACATATGCTGTTTTCTATCTATCAAAATCAGCGAATAAATTATCTTACAAGTAAATATGTAAAATCAGAATGTTGATGATATATATATATATGCATTAAAGCTTGTATTTATAATTTTTATAAAGATTGTATATAAAATAAGCATGTAATTAATGACAAAAGTAAAATGCCAATGGTTAACTCTTAAAGTTAAATAAGATTTTGCTAATTTTTATTTGCAATCTTCAAAAACAACAGAAATGTTTTGCATTATCAAATATTTTGAAATTAAAAAATTACCCACTATCCAAAAATAAATTTTTGCATCTTGAAGAACTATTCAACGTTAACACTTGTTATTAGGCGGATATTTAAAATAGAAATATCCAATGTAAAATTTACACTAAGTTGTAAAAAAAAATAATAAATAAATAAAATAACGATGTTGTAAAAAAATAACTAATTCTCAGGCAAAATGCTCTTATAATAAAGAGTTTCAAATTTCAACTTCATTTAAAAAAATTTTAAAAATGTTTAAAAAAAATCTATGTAAAAAATCAAAAAAAAAATCATGATTAATGCCTTTTAAAGGAAAAACCAACCAAAAGTGCAAAAAAGCATGTATCCTAACCCTATAAACAACGATTGCGGCAGTGTTACAAATTACAGGTTTATAAACTTTAGTATTTATTTATGAACTGATATGTCAATGTATAATTTTACTGATTTGTTGATTACCTACTTTTCCCTTTCACTGATTAATTTATTTCCTGATTCATCAAATACTAATACGTTGATTCACTGAATCAGCAAATCACTTTATTTGTTTCCCTTTATTCACTAGCTATATCAAGTAATACTTGTCATCGTAACGATTTCCTAGCGAATCTGTTTTAATTTGCTCTTGAAATTAAAAATAGATTATTTTTAAGATAACTACGAGTAAAACTAATTAGACTAATACTTAAAAGAATCTAGTTTAAAGTACTTAGCGAAAATATAAATAAATGCTTCTCGTTATTAAATGATTTCGTAAAAAGTTAAAGATTTTATCGGTTAATAAAAATATTTTAAATGAATCGTTCCATGTAAGTTATGTAATCCTCACATAAAATGTCCGTAAGTCCCTCATGACATGAGGTAAAAAACATGGTGTCCAACCTTAGACCAGCATAACTTCGAAACAATTGCAGTTTAAATTCGGATTACGTTAAGTAGCGAAAACAAATATCATTTTACTACAAAGATGTTATTATTTTTGATCGAAAGTTACTAATTATAACACTGTGCAACATTACAAAATATTCGTGCTCATAAGATTAAAATATGTGCTTCTTGAAGAATTTTCATTCAGAAGTTTGTAGAAATGTACGATTACGCTTTCGTACTTATGACAGCTCACACGTTTGATATTTCAATCCTTTGTTGCTAACCCCAAAAAGAAATGAGAGCTTTCATTCTCACTGTGTGAAAGTATATTGACTTTATTCTGAAGCGTATTTCGTATTCTCAACAGTAGGCGGCAGTACTTGCAGAAAATGTTTCAATTTCCTGTAGAAGATTCGCCTGCATTGATTTCTAATATTTATTTACGTTATATTTATACTTAATTTTTAATATAATTATTTGCTTCCGATGGCGAAAAATTCGTTTGTAAGTGGCAGCGTTTGATCTGCTTTTGGGTGAACTATTCCAATAATTTTCTTATCTGAAATTAAGATCTCATTTAAATTCCCAATGCAAATTCCCACGGGAGGGAATAATGCATTGAATTATCCCAAGAGAATACAAACAAACCAGGTACGTCAAAAATAGAAATAATCACGTTCTGCTATCAAGTAAGAGGAGGACAGCAACAACTTGCGGTAGTTTTTTTATATTTATTTTATTTATATTTATTTATTTCTTTTTTGGAGATAGGTAGGTTGGCAAATCATTTACGTCGCACTAGAGCTGCACAATGGGTTATTGGCTTTGGTCGATTTCGATCCTCTGTAGATCTCAATTTTGATCCTCTGTAGAAGGGATGGCCCAATTGCTTTGGAAGCCAGGCGACCTGCGTGCGAAGTCCCTGAGGATGTTCTCCAGATCTCAATTTCGATCCTATGTAAAAGGGATGGCCCAATTGCTTTGGAAGCCAGGCGACCTGCGTGCGAAGTCGAGCACTTCAAGGTAAAACAGTTTAACGAAGACCGATACTGCACACCCTCGGTACCTACGCAGGCTAATCAAAGAGGTCACCCACCCGCTTACTGACCACAGGCAGTGATGCTTGACTTCGGTGTCCTACTGGGAGCCGTATCTTTACGATCAGTCCATTGCGAGACTTTTAAAGATATCTGGTAAATATGCGGTCAATAATTATATCTGGAATTGAGTTGCAACAAATATTCCACTTTTGTGTATGTACCTTGAGGACCTCCTTTGTCACCTGGTCGTCCTCCATCATGCCAGTAAGCCCATGTTATGGCATAAGGTCCACAGAAGTATCCACCTCCTGCAGCGTGGCATCTCAGGGTTTCGTCACAGTTACTTGTCGCCTAAAAATGTAATTTACATTACAAAACTACATTATTCAGGTTTTTGAAGTACAGAAAGAATGTTGTTCAGTGAGAGAAAAAAGAGGAACACCCTGAATAATTTTTGATCTAATAACCGGATCTTTACCGATTAAGATTCAATCTTAATGGGTCAAGGAGCTAACCTTAAATATAGTAATTAATTAGTGACATTTCAGGTTTTCGTCACAGTTACTTGTGATCTAAAAATGTAATTTACATAACAAAATTATTCGCTTCAGGTTTTTGAAGTACAGAAAGAATGTTGTTCAGTGAAAGAAAAAAGAGGAACACCCTGAATAACTTTTGATCTAATAACCGGATCTTTACCGATTAAGATTCAATCTTAATGGTTCAAGGAGCTAACCTTAAATATAGTAATTAATTAGTGACATTTCAGGTTTTCGTCACAGTTACTTGTGATCTAAAAATGTAATTTACATAACAAAATTATACGCTTCAGGTTTTTGAAGTACAGAAAGAATGTTGTACAGTGCGCAAAAAAAAAAAGGAACACCCTGAATAACTTTTGATCTATTAATCGGATCTTCACGAATTGAGACTCAATCTTAATGGTTCAAGGGGCAAATCTTAAATATGCTAATTGATTAGTGCAGGCGGAATTTCAAATTACTTAATCAGACAACAAAAATGTACTTTATCTGAATAAACATACCCTTTTTCGATAGATTGAATTTAAAACTTATGGCTTTTTTAAAATTTGATTAGTCAGAAACTATTCTACCTATTTCATTCAAATTTCGTCTATTGGTACTCTTCCCGGCTGTTCTTATTACTTTCTCTAATGTGATGTAATAATTTGGATACCTTACAATTAAAAATTTATTCCGTCTATTATTAAATGAATGATAAAATGCTGAAGAAAAAAAATGGCTTTCAAAAATTAACTTTTGCAGGTAATGCCTTCTCAAGAAGTTTTTTTCCAAGCTATTATTCTATATGCTAGTGTTACCCAGTTTTCTTTCTTTTGTCTGTAGTCCCAGAAAATCTTTTTCTAAGTTTAGTTTAATGAAATTAATGATATCTGATAACTTATATTCTGATTCCTTGTATATAGTGCCAGTAAATCTTTTTCTAAGCGTAGTTTAATGAAATCAATGATATCTGATAACTTATATTCTGACTCTCTGTCTATAGTGCCAATAAATCTTTTTCTAAGCGTAAATTCATGACATTAATGATATCTGATAACTTATATGAGTGATATTGTCGTGATAATTTTCCGAATAAATTTTTCAAGACCTTTTTCTCAAAGTTAGGCGTTATTGTGCTAATTTCATTGCATTGAAATTGAACATCCTTTTATAAAAAGCTTACAAATATTTAGTATAAAATAATACTGTTTTAATTAATTGAAATCTCTTATAAATAATGTATATATATAAAATTTTTGAATTGATAACAAAATTATTTTGTTTCTTGGTTATTCTTGCGTGACACGTCCTAAAAATTCAGGGGCTGGCTGCTTAACAGAAAAGAGTCATACTCACTTTGCAAATACATTCTAAGCATTGTTGATCCATCTCAGGGACATTTACTGTGATAAAAAGAAATAATACACAGATTAAAATTTTTACATTGAAATCGGAAAGAGATATTTTTATTGCACAACATAAGTAATTTTTACCCTTTGATGCAGATAGGACACATGTGTCCTTTTTGCATATTTTATTTCTGACGATCTAATTACAAGCAAAAATATATTTTGGTATTTTTAAAGTATAAAAAGCAGTCTAGTTACTTAAAAATAGCTGTTTATCTGATTTCTATTTGTACTAAAATATAAAATACATAAACAGAGTAGTTAGAGAAAAGCTTAGTTTTTATTCATATTCAAAAATGTACCTACAAGTTGATTTTGAAAATTAAAGAAATTTCAGTGATAATACATGTTTCTATTAGATCTAAATAACTGCAAATAAGTGCAAGTTTGAAACATTTTTGTTAGAAAAGGAGCAGAAGATATTAGATTAGAAAGATTTTATTCTGAACGCAAAAAAAAAAATAAAAGAAAAAATCATCGGTAGCCATAATTATTTCCAAGCCATAAATTATTAAAATGCTAAATATCACATTTTTCACTTGTTTTGACCTAAATTAATATGATTAAAAAAGATATTTTGTAAATTAATATGATTAAAAAATATGATTAAAAAAGATAAATTAATATGATTAAAAAAGATATTTTGTAAATATAAGTAAATAAATTGATGAAAATGAACTACTCTTCGGTATTGCCGGAACAATTCTTGTTAAATATTTTAATTAAATTTTTCTTTAAAAAATCTTCCGAATGTTTTTTTATTAACTATTTTTATGGAGTCTTTCATTTCTGTTAACTTCACTTAAAATAACTTTTTTTTTCTTCAATAAACTGAAATTTATGACTATGATAAAATTATTTTATTGATTTTCAATGCAGTAATTTTTTTTGCACACTTGAAAAACTGTTTTCTACCAGCTATTTTCCGTTGAATGTGTATTATGTGTAGAATTACGTTTTTTTAAAATCTATTTTAAATACTGTTAATGTTTTTGTTATTCTTAAAGTTGTCAATAGATGGCAGCTCTATGTCTGCATAGAAAACTTTCATCTTATGCTAATGCAAAATATGATTTTCAATATAAAATATTTTTATTAAAAAAAATAGCTCTGACAAATAATTATGTTTAAGGGCTATGCGCGAAACACATTTGCCTACGGTTCTACAAATAATTTTTCTGGCCCCAAAATAAATTTTTTTTAAATTTAATTTTAACTTAATTCATGTAAAAAAAATTCCATTACAATAACTTTCCGTGAACCACTATTTTGAAACCAATCGTTTTTATTATCGTTTTCAATGCATATTGGGCAGTGGCATTTGACCTTAAAAAACAATAGTGTAGGGTATACCGGGTAGTGGCATTGAATATATAAAAAAAATATCAGTGTGGAGTATACCGGGCAGTCGCAAACTAGACCTACTACAGTTTTTCACAAACTTATGACTTTTGTGTACCCCTTCTAAATTTTTCGTAACGCTGTGTACCACTAATAAAAAATGAATGTATTTTTTTAAAAATATGTTTATTTTTATTTTTTGGTATAAAGTTTTGTTAATAATTTTATTTGCATCAGTGAGAGGGATGATATTATTTTGGCTGTAATAACAGTTCATCATAATTCGGTTCTCTTGTGGTAAATTTTAGTCTGAGATGCGATTCCACGTACAATAATCTATTTATTTTTTTTTTCCGAATTAATGTCCACGAAAGCTGAAAAAGCGACTTCACATAAATATGAAGTTGGAAGAGGCAAAATATATTTCACAACTTTTTCGGTTAAAACTGGATACATATTTTGCATTTGCAGCCAGAATGATGTTAAAGTTTGTTCAAAATTTTTCAAGAAGGATAAAAATTATATTTTATAAAAATAATCAAAGTAAGTAGAATTTATCAAGAACTTTTACTGTAAAAAAATTGCACAAAAGTTGAAAATCACAACTGGCTGTTGACACTACTATTTTTGCATAGCTGGTATAAATATTTTAAATAACAATCATATCCGAGCTTACCATTTCTATATTCTCAATAGAATATAAATAAAAAAAAACCTTTATAATAGAGAACTTAATAGCTGAATTATTAACTAAAACCCACTCATAATTATTGCAATTTATATTTGTTGTAACATTATTGATATAAAAACAAATATTTACGTGAACTTTTGGAAATATGATATTAATAACAGAATTTAAAATGACTAATGTAGATTGCTACTAAAATTTATTGTTGTGCAAAAAACGTAGAGTTAGCGATGCGAATCTGCGGAATTAATTTCTGAAGTGTCTCATATAGCTTTAAAAAGAGACGCATTCAGAGCCCGATTTTTTTAGCGGGCCCTGGGAAAAACATTTTTAGGGCTCTTTAAATATTCTCTCCCAGCGAAGACTCCTCATTTTTTTTCTTTTCTCTTTAATGATTGATATATGCTATATTATTTACTTTTTTACTATTTATTTTTCGAATTTATATCTGAGATGGCACAACTTTGCTTTTTTCTATCATTGTTTTAGACTTCGTTTTCGAATTTATTCTGCGGTTTTAAAATTTCATTCATGATTTATTAGGTACAGGTTTCTTAGAAGTAGAGGTATCGTATTTTCAGTTTAAGGGCATCTTAAATAATCATCTAATAATGGTTATTTTTGTCTTTGATTTCCATGATTTTGATTACTGAACATAGCTTTCGCTTGTGGGGGCCCCTAGAAATATAGAGATCACTAAATTCTAGAAGTTTACCACGATCCCATGTTATCATCTATAATTCTACATGATTCAAAGAAAAAATACAATTTTCAAAAACAAAAATTAAAAAATAAATCCGAATTTTTATAATCATTAAAAAATACTTTTTGAATATCACATACTAATATATTTCTTTCGTATTTTTTTCATATAACAAGGCTCTTTAGAATCCTAGAAGTGTGGGGCCCATAGAAAATGCCTCACTTTCCCCGCCCTTACGTCGAATAATTGATTTATATTAAATACTGGGTTACTATGTAATGGGTAAATATACTATATATATTACGAATAGCATTACTTACAATTGTGTATGGGAGGTAAAACAGCAAGAAACCCTGCAATAACTAAGAAAAGAATCATTTTTGGAGGAGATTGTGGTTCGTCGTTTGGTAGAAAATGGCGAAAACACAGAACAATAGCTCGAGGAAGATTTTTAAATAAGTTTAATCTGATTTTCAGCCGTTGAGTGTGAGAATTAAAACAAATGGAGATGTTAATCAATTTTGATACATTTTCTAGAAAAAAATCTGTGCAGCTGTGTTTTTTTGAATAGTAAAAAACAAAAAAAATTCTACGTATTATAAAGTGAGAAAAAAAATAGAATATTGGAAATTTTAATTCAATTTTTAAAAACAATTTTGACTTGGTAATCATTATCAGATATCTGTTTATAATTCTGTAACCTGTTTCTTGTTTTATTTTCGTATTGAAGAAATATAAAGCAATCGGTTGTGTAAATACTTATTTAAATATTTATTTCAAAAAATTTAATGCCATCGATTGGGGAAAAATAAAATTATTAATTTTTGCACTGAGTTAAATGCAAGTTAAATTGGTATTTTTAGGATATCTGAACGTTAAAATTAAACTTACCACGCTTAACTGAGATTATTTTGATTTTTTAATTCAGTAATATTCTTCTTTTGGTGGCAACAGTAGTTGATAACTCTAATTTACACAAGACTGAACACGTGATAAGTTCGATTTCTCCTACATTTCTACAATTTTCACTGGTTACTATAAATATTACATCGTTTTTAGATGTTTTTATTTTATTTTGAAGGTTATCGTTTAATTTAAAGCACAGCTGAATTCGAATTTCTCATTTTCAGGAAAATCTATGTTATTGTTAAAGTGCATACATGTTATTCTACAGATTATCTATCTAAAGTGCAGATTAATTAGGGCTACAGTACTAAAAAATTGTTTCATTGTATTATTGCTTAGATAATCTACAGTCTACACATTACCCACTAGGCATTTGTAAATAAGATCTTTGTTGGATTAAGAGCAACGTTTCTGTACACTTAATCACTTTAGAAACCATGATACAAAGAGTTTCATGGTGTAAAATATTATTACAATGGGATACCAGCAAGTGACGTAGTGGGGGTATCTCGATCCTGATTGGTTGTTGAAACGTGGTATTTGTTTACGTTAGCAACTGTTATTTCTATTCTATTTCGAGTTAGCAAAGTCTGTCAAATATCAATTCTCTTAAGTGACACATTCTAAATTCTTTCACAAAGATTATTTCTCAAAAATTTCAATTGCTTCACTATATCTTTACACATAGACTTAACACTGTGAAGTCATCTGAAACATAAACTAATTATGCATCGAAGTTGCCAGATACACAAAAACAATAAAATACGTAAACAAATAATAAATTTAAGTTAAGTAAAAAAAGTGGACGAGAAATAAGTTGATGTGCGAAACGGCTCTGAATTTAATTAATTTATCGTTAATTAACATTTTAACTTATGTAGAGAAACTTAGCTCAACTTTAATACTCCATTTTGCTGATAAATTTGATCAGCTGGCTCTCACGTTATAGGTCACGTGTGTAGGTATGTGAGGTCTTCTTCTTCTTGAAGCGCAAGTACCCATTTATGGAAATAAACATAAAGTCGATTATTTATTTTTCAATTTCTAAAGAATTACATGAATACAATAAACAAATTTGTTGATAGAATGAGCGAAACAAAATTTGACAATACAGAGACCGTAAATGCTCACATTAATTAAGTAAAACTCTTGGTTCCGCACTTTAGCAGAACACCCTATAGTTAATCGGCAGATTAGGTAGGTAAAATGCGTACTAATTGCTTTAGAGCTATTAAATAATAAAATTTAGCATTGAAATGTTACATAAATTAGAAATTTTTATGGTTTTATTAACTACAGATTTTCATTATTTGTTTTAATAAACAACAAATTTCCAAAATTTCAAAGATCTAAAATCACAAAGATCCAAAAATTTCTAAATTTTTTCTCTATATCCTTAAACGAGAGAGAAGAACAATTTTTTTGTGTCACTATTATTAAATGCACATTTTATAAGAATTTTTTTATAAAATTTTGTTTTGTTCTCTTATTACAGGATTGTCGCTAGGGGTCACATGTTTAGCAAAATTATTTTATTATTACCTTGCTTTATAAAACAATCTACTTAAAAGATTTGTAAAAATTAGTGAGTTATTATTTTTCTTTTCAATCATTCACTATTTTTCATTAAATAAACATTTATTTTTTATCCTTCGGTTTCCACGATGATGAGGCTTGCTATAAAACTTATCTACTGGCGTGCATAGATATTTGGATGCCCAACTCCTCGAAGAGATAGTTTGATATCTTTAAGTTCTTGGCTCAGGAGCCGAAAAAGGCTCCTACACTAGGTCGGCGCCGTGGTGGCTCATGGGATAGAGAGTTCGCCTTCCGATGAGATGAACTGGGTTCGAATCCCAGTGATGGCAGGTGAAAACGAATTCCTCACCCGTCTCGCACCTATCACAGTGCTGAAGAAAAATATCCTCAGTGGTAGACGGATCTAGGGTTAGAGTCCCCTTGCCACCACGCTAACCGGGGAACGTTTTCGTGGTTTACCTCTCTATGTAACGCAAATGCTGGTTAGTTCCTTCAAAAAGTCCTCCACGAACGCAAATCTCCCCCAATACTTGATCCAGGAGTTCCCTTGTCTTCTGGATTATGGTCAAAATTACAAGGCTACGGTGATATACATCAGTAGTCGTAAACCCAAAGAAATTGGGTCGGCCGTTCAACGTTGACTATAAAACACTTGGTCTATATTAAAAATATGATTTAAATTTAATGAAGAAATGTCTTTGAGATAGTCAATAAGATTTCTGTGTGGTGTTTCATGAAGTAAAGTAGATACATGAGGAAAATCACAATTAAAATAACGTCTCTTAATTTTTGAATTAGATTACTGGGTCAAGATGTGCTCTATGGTTAATGGTTCTATGCAACTGGAATATAAACAGGCGCTGATTCTTTCAGCAAAAGCTGCTTTCATATGTTAAATCGTGTAGGTCTGATGCGTAACCTGTCAATAAAAACTTTTTCTATTAATGTCAATTCGAGCCAAGGTGGCTCAGGTGATACTAATGTTCAGGTGATCGCCTTCAAATAAGTTGAACCGGGTTCGAATCCCAGCGACGACTGGCTGATACGAATTCCGCATCCGCCTTGAACCGACCACAGTGCTGACGAAAAATATCCTCAGTGGTAGACGGATCATGGGTCAGAGATCCTTGCCGTCAGGCAAACCATAGGAGATTATCGTGGTTCTCCACCCATGGAATTATCACGTTATTATCACCATGTAANCGTAAACAAGCGTTAAATCACCAAGGAGAAAAAGTGTAAACAAACGCGAGTCAGGCTCGAATGGCGTCACTTTCTTAAAAGTCACGTGACTTCCTTTTTAAACTGAAAACGAAAGTACACGATTTTTAATTGCTCTTAATTAAAAAAGTAGCATTTTTTGGGAGGTAAAAAGATGTTTTTCAGGACTTTTCCATCATTCTGAATTCATTAAGAACATAAAAAAAATTGACTGCAATTTTCCATTGTCTTCTGGATTGGGTTCAAAATTACAAGGCTACGGAGTTGAACATTAGCAGTCGTAAACCCAAAAAATTGGTTCGGCTATTTAACGGCGGTTATAATATTAGTGTCAGTTAACTATCTGGGTCTTCAATTTAGGTATTCGGATCTTAAAAAGCGTTATTAATAGTTTTACTTCATGTAGTTTTTTTGTTGGTCACCGTATTCCTCAATGGGTTTTCCAAGTGTTTATTACTATTTTAATTCTAAAAACATACTTTACTTACTTTTTATGTCATGAAAGGGGAAAAAAGTGAAACAAAGTTGCAACAAATTTTGCGCAAGGAATAGTGCAAAAAGTTTTAAACCAAAAATATCATTATAAAATTTTTTTCAAATCCTTATTTTATTCCTTATGAAATATATATCATTTGAGCAAAATTGGTTTTTAAATGATAAAAATAATAACAAATTTAAGGTTTTAGTGTCTATTTGATGATAGTTAGCCTGATACGTTCGCCTACCAACTGAAGCAAATTTAGTCAATTTAAATAAAAAATCATGTTCCCAATTTCCATTTGAAGTATTATTTGTATCAATTCAAAAGCTTATTTCATAAAATCATGGCCTGAAAAATCACTATAATACGTTAAGGGTTTGTTCTTGTTGTTGTAATGTAGGCCATTAAGGCAAGGGGTGTGATTATTCTTTTTTCCGGTGGCGCCATCTATGGTCAAAAATTCGACTTCCGGCAAACTCATTTATAGGGCGGATCTGTTCATATATCCATTCATTCTTCCACGGATTGCAATTTTGACCTGAACCAGAGAGCGATTAATCTCCAATTCAGTACCCCCAGAGGAATAATATGTTATGTGGAACATGGAGGACTTTGTGACTTCGCAAATTTTACGTGCACCAATAATCATTTACTACACAGGGAGTCTTCGGCTAGCTGGATTCGAACTCCCGTTCTCATGAACGTGAGTACAGCGCCCTACCAACCAAACTATCCCGCCCTCAAAGGGCTTTTTAGTCCCGCATTCACTAATTGTAAAGACACGGTTCCCAGTAGAACATCGAAGTCACGCAATACTGGCTGCGGTCAGAGTGGATGACCCCTTGGATCAGTGCCCGAAGGGTATGATGGTGCGAGGTATTGGACCTCGTTAAACTGTTCTACCGTAAAGTGATCGACTTCGCGCGATGGTTGTCTGGCTACCAAAGCGGGGGTGCCATCTCCTCCGCAGAGGATCACAATTGTGATGGCCTGTCTTAGGATCATCCTTAGGGATATTTCCCAGACCGTCGCCAATAGCTCATTGTGCAGCTCTAATGCGACGTAAATAAAACTACAACTAAGGACAAAGGGCATTTTAAATCATTTAAATACAAGCGAATAGTAAGCAAAGTTTCGTTTATGAAATACAGTGGGTGTACTTATTCCATTTTTCTCCAAAAAGTTCAACTCGATGGTTTCTACTCAGATATTTGACAAGAAAATTCAACAGACCACAACTCACTAATACATCTAAGATTGTAAGAATTTTATTTTGTGGTCGTTCTAGTGCGAATTAAATTATAGTATAGTTGGTTAACGTAC